TCCCAGTGAGACCCCAGCCAATCACAGCTGATCCCAGTAGGATCCCAACCAATCCCAGTAGGATCCCAGCTGATCCCGGTGAGATCCCAGCCGATCCCAGTGGGATTCCAGCCAATCCCACTGGTGTCCCGGCCAATCCCAGAGGGATCCCACCTGATCCCAGCACTCCCGTCCCCCCCGTTGCCCCCTCAGAGCAGCAGGAGCAGGGAATACTCGGCCCGTGGCCACCTTCGCGTGGCCCGGGCCGTGCGGCCGATCATGGGCAGCTTCTGGGCGTAGCGGGAGCCCGGGGGGGGCCCGGGGGGGGCTCCTCGTCGCGGGGGCTGACGGTGGCGTTGGCCGTGAGCTGCGGCATCTTGCGGGCCGGGCCCTCGGCCGGGGGGTCTTTGCGGGCTCCCCCCGCCCCCATCTCGGGGGTCCCGGGGGGCGCGGGGGGCGCGGGGGGGGCTCCGGTGCCGAAGCGGGCGGCCAGGCTGTCCCCGAAGAAGTCGTAGAGCTCCCGGTACATGTCCCGCAGGGAGGGGGGCGGCGGCGCGGGGGGGGACGAAGAGGACGCGGAGGAGGAGGAGGAGGAGGAGGAGCAGGAGGAGGAGGAAGGAGGAGGGGGGACGCCCCCACCCCCGACGCCCCCACCCCCTCCTCCTCCCCCCGGTAAGAGGGGCCGGCCCAGCCCCCAGCCCAGCTCCGGGGGGGGGTCCTGGCGGGAGCTGTGCCGGGGGGAGCCCTCGGGACCCCCCGGAGATGGAGCTTGTTGGGCCTTGGCCTTCAGGAGCCGCTCCACGGCCACCTGGGGACGGGGACGGGGGTCAGGGACAGGGACAGGGACGGAAAGGGGGGGACAGGGACAGGGGGGGACAGGGAGACGGATGGTGGGGTCAGGGACAGGGACAGGGACGGGCAGGGGGGGACAGGGAGAGAGGGGGACAGGGACAGACAGGGGGGGCAATAAAAGGACAGTGGGAGGGAAAACGAGGGGGAAAACAGGATTAGTAAGGGACAGTGGGGGGGCACGGAGGGTCTGACCCTCCCCCCAAACGCCCCCCTCTTACCAGGATGGGGCACAGGGGATGTGACCCCCCCCCCAAACACCCCCCAGTCTCACCAGGATGGCTCCGTAGACCTTGTGCCCGTCGGCCTTGACCTGAGCGTTGGACACGGAGTTGTCGTCCAGCACGGCCTGGAGGTTGGCCCAGTACGTGGGGAGGTGGGGGTACAGCACCCGCTCCACAGCCTGGGGGGCACAGGGGGGGCACTGAGACCACCAATAGTGGGGGTACAGCACCCGCTCCATGGCCTGGGGGGGGGGGACACATGCACTGAGACCACCCCCCGTGGGCACCAGGACCACCCCCTGGGCACAGGGACCACCCCCAAAATGAGGGCACAGCACCCGCTCCACAGCCTGGGGGGGGACACGGGGGGACACACCCTGGGACCAACCCCCCAGGGCACCAGGACCCCCAAAACCACCCCACAGGACCCCCAGAGCCCCTCCTGGACCCTTCTCAGACCCACCTGGGCACTCTCGGGACCCCCCCTGAGCTCACCCAGGACCCTGAGAATGTCTTTGGGGTCCCCCAGGACCCTCCCCATGGACCCCCATGGCCCCCCCCAGCCCCCCCAGCCCCCTGACCTTCCAGCCCAGGGCGTGCAGCCCCACCACGGCCCCGTAGTGGGAGCAGAGGGGCCGCACAGGATCCGCCAGGACCTTCTGCAGCGAGAGCAGGATCTGCTGGTAGAGGCCACTCACCAGGTCCCCGTGGGTCCTGCGGGCACAGGCGGGCGCTGGGACCCCCGAGACCCCCCCCTTGGGACCCTCAGAGCCTCGCTGGGACCCCCACCCAGAGCCCCCTCTGGGACCCCCAGGCCTTCCCCAGGATCCCTCTCAGACCCCCATGGGCACACCCAGGAAGAACCCAGAACCCGTGTGGACCCCCAGGACCCCCCCCCAGGACCCCCCAAACCTCCACAGGACCCCCTCAAACCTTCTCCCAGCCCCCCCCCGAACCCGTGTGGACCCGCAGGACCCGCCAAACATCCACAGGACCCCCTCAAACCCTCTCCCAGACCCTCCCAGTCCCCTCAAACCCCCTCCCAGTGCCCCCAAACCCCCTCCCAGCCCCCCCGACCCTCCCAGTCCCCTCCAACCCCCTCCCAGCCCCCTCAGGACCCCCCCCAGGACCCTCAGAACCTCCATAGGACCCCCTCAAACCCCCTCCAGTGCCCCCAAACCCCCTCCCAGCCCCCCCAAACCCCCCCACCAGAAGATGCGGGAGAGCAGCAGCGCGGCGCAGTCGCGGAGGGTCCAGTGGTCGTTGAGGGGGTTGATGGAGGCGGCGAGGGGCTCGAGGACACAGTACAGGACGCTGCCGATCAGGGAGCACACGTAGGAGCCCAGCCCCAGGAAGGGGTTCAGCACCAGGCTCCGAGCCAGGTGCAGCAGCCGGTTCAGCTGCTCCAGGTCGTGGCTCACTGACTTCACCTGGGGGGGGAAAAAACCTCTTAGAGGGACCCCCAGGACCCCCAGTAACACCCTGGGACCCCCAGCCCTGTGCTCACCCCGCTGACCATCAGAACTCTCTGAGAGGGACCCCCAGGACCCCCCAGGACCCTCAGTAACACCCTGGGACCCCCCCCGAGTCCGCCAGGACCTCCAGAGCCCTCCAGTAACACTCTGGGACCCCCAGCCCTGTGCTCACCCCGCTGACCATCAAAACCCTCTGAGAGGAACCCCCCAGGACCCCCCAGGACCTCCCTGGGACTGCCCCCACCCACACTCATAACTCTGACCATGAAACCCCCTGTGAGGGACCCTCTGGACACCCCAGAGCCCCCTCCCGCCACCCCCCCAGCCCCATAACACCCCACTAACCATGAAAACCCCCTGGCAGGGACCCTTTGGGACCCCCCAGAGCCCCCCCAGACCCCCCCCAGCCCCGCACTGACCCCGCTGACCACGTAGACGAAGTAGGGCAGCAGCGCCGCGATTTTGGAGTTGGTCTGAAGGTCCTGCAGGGCCACCTGGGGGGGTCCTGGTGGGTCAGACCCGCCCTGGGGGAGTTGGGGGGTGGGTCACCCCCTCCGGGGGGGTTTTGGGGGTCTCTGACCTTCATGAGCTGGGGGTCATCGCCCAGCACAGCCCGAGTGACGTGTTGGTAATACTTGAGCAGGTCCTCGGAGAGCGACGAGACGGCGCTGGGGACTGGGGGAGTCAAGGGGGGGTCACCCCAAAACCCACCATCCCAAAATATACCCCAAAATTTGCCATCCCAAAATATACCCCAAAATTTGCCATCCCAAAACGTACCCCAAAATATACCCCCAAAACACACCATCCCAAAATATACCCCAAAATACACCATTCCAAAATGTACCCAAAAATACACCCTAAAATTTGCCATCCCAAAATATACCCCAAAATACACCATCCCAAAACGCACGTCCCCAAGATACACCCAAAAATATGCCCCAAAATACACCCCAAAATCCACCTCCCCAAAATATATCCCCAAATCCACCTCCCCAAAAATAAACCCCAAAACCCACCTCCCCAAAATCCACCCCTGGCCCTGTTTTGGGGGGGGAAGTCACCCCAAAACCTGCTCTCGGCCCTGCTGGGGGGGAGGAAGGAGCCCCCCAAAACTGCTCCTCACCTGCTCCCTGTGGCTCCAGGTTCCCTTTGCCATCCAGGTAGGACACGTGCACTGCAGGGGGGGCACAGGGGGGTGAGACCCCCAGGTTGGGGGTCCTGGGGGAAACTGGGGAGGATTTGGGGGTCCCAGAGGGATTTGGGAATCTCGGGGGGGGGGGGGGGGGGGTCGCGGGGGGTCCCCACCTCTCACAGTGGTCTCGGCACAGCCCTTGGGGATGTTGGTGGCCAGCGCCAGCTCCACCAGGTTCACCTCCCGGTCCTCCTGGAAGAACAGGTCGCCCTCCTTGATGGCCCGGAAGGGCAGCGAGTCCTGGGAGCCGAACCCGCACACGGCCTGGGGGGGACACGGCGGTGACACCCCCGGACTGGCACCTCCCACCCCCTCCCCCGGCCCCCAGGGACCCCCCCTGGGATTTGGGGGGACCCCCCCTGGGATTTGGGGGGACCCCAATCCCCAGCACGGTTGTGCTGCTGGGACCAGCGAGTTGGACGCAGCCCCACCAGTGTCCCCAACCCCACCAGTGTCCCCACTGTCCCCACCCACTCCCAGTGCCCCCCAGGACCCCCAACAGCCCCCCCCCCAAAGCCCCCTGCCCACCTCGACGTTGCTCCAGCGCAGGGCCCGGTTAAAATCCTCCACGGTGAGGCGGCGGCGCCGGGTGTGTTTGAGGAACTGGGAGCTGTTCTGGGACACCGGGAACGGGATTTGGGACCGGAACCGGGAACGGCACCGGGGACGGCACCGAGACTGGGATTGGGGTTGGGACCGGAACCGGGAACGGGTCTGGGATCGGCACCGGGACCAGAATTGGGATCGTTATCGGGAGTGGGATTGGGATCGGTACCGCCATCATTACCGCGACCGTCCCCGGGAACGGGCTCGAGATCGGGACCCGGAGCGTTCCCGGGATCGCCCCCGCTCCCCGTTTTCCCCCCGGTTCCCCCTCCCCGGTACCTGCGTGGCCTCCCTGAGCCGGTAACAAACGTCCTCCGCCAGCAGCGCGGCCACGTCGTCGCTGAGCTCGAGCCCCGCGCTCTCGGCCATGAGCCGAACCGAGTCCCGGGGCAGCTCCACGAACCGCCGCTCCTCGCGCTCCGCCATCGCGGGGGGGGGCGTGGCCGGGACATGCAAATGAGCAGGGGAACCGCCAATCGTGGCGCTCCGCCGCGGCGGGGGCGGGGACATGCAAATGAGGCAAAGGGGATGACGGGAGAGGGCGGGGCGCGCGCGTGCGCGGAAAGGGAGGAGGGAAAGGCGGGAAAAGGGCTGATGGGAGTCGGGGGCGGGGCTATGCAAATGAGACCGGAGACAGCTGGGAAAGGGCGGGGGGGACTTCCCGATATCGGTCGGGATCGATCGCTCCGACAGAAGGATCGATAGGAGGAAGGGGAGGGGGACGGGACCCCGCGGGTCCCCCGCGCTGACCCCTCCCAGCGTCCCTTTAGAACCCACTCTCTGCTTAATTTACATAACCACACCCCTTTTGGCCCAACACCCCCTTCCTCCAGCCTGATTGGCCGACAGCGCGGTTCGATTTGCATTCGCCCCGCCCCTCCGGCCGTTTTGCATATTCCGCGCGGGTTTTGGATCCGGCGCCGCTCTGATTGGTCGGGGGTCGCCCCGCCCCTCCAGACCCCGCCCCCAGGCTTCGAAATTCGGTGAAAACGTTTATTTTGCTGGAAAAACGGGCGGGCGAGGCCGGGGGTCACCCGGGAGGGGCCGGGGGGGGAGCGCCCTACAAAAAGGGGGGGCTCAGGCGGGACGGGGGGGACACGGATCCGTCCGGGGCCACACCTGGAAGAGAGAGGAGAGGTGAGAGGGGTGGGGGGGACACGGGGGGACATCGGGACAGGGGGACACTGGGAAACCCGGACATGGGGACACCCAGATGTGGAACACCTGGACACGGGACACCTGGACATGGACACACCGGACAAGGGGACACCCAGACGTGGGGACACCCAGACATGGGACACTCGGACATGGGGACACCTGGACATGGACACACTGGACACAGGGACACCTGGACTCAGGACACGGGGACACTGGGACATGGGACACCTGGGTGCTGGGAAACCTGGGCATGGGGACACCCAGACAGGGGGACACCCAGACAGGGGACACCCAGACATGGGGACACCCAGACATGGGTGCTGGGACACAGCGGTGACAGCGCCGGCTCCAGCAGGGAAAGCGGCGTCCCGGTGACAGGGGAGGGACAATAAGGTGACAGGAGGAGGGACACGGTGGTGACGAGGGGGTGGGACACGGCAGCAGCACCGACCCGGGGCACGTCTGACCTGTCGCGGCGTCGGCGTCCGGGGGCCACGAGGCCACGGCGACAACGGGGGCGAGTCCCGGGGCGGGGGTTCCGCGGCCATCCTGGGGGGGGGGGGGGGGGGGGAGGCCGTTACCGAGCGCCGGGGCCGCGGCCCCCCCCCCCGGGGGGGGGGGGGGGTTCGGCGCCGGCGGCGCTCACCTCAGAAGGCGGAATAGCGCGCCCGCTCCCCGTAGGGGTCCCGCTCGAAGCGCTGCAGGTCGTAGAGCGAGGCCCGGGCCACCGAGGAGACGGGCGAGAGCTGGCCGCGCTCGTACGTGTACGCCTCTCCCACGGTGCTGGCCGCGGCGGCCGTGCGGCGCAGGGGGCTCCTGTCCCGGGTGTAATAGGTGGAGGAGGCGGCCGCCGCGGCGGCGGTGGCGGCGGCGGCGACGGCGGCCGCCGCGCCCGGGGTCGGCAGCAGCGCTCGGTCGTACGCGTCGAGGGCGGCGGGGAGGCGGCCGGCCATGGCCGTGGTGGCGGCGGCCACGGCCGAGGACTGGACCTGGGAGTACTGGGCGTACTGGGAGTACTGGGCCATGGTCTGCTCCGCGTAGGCGTCGTACGCGGAGGCCGCGGCGTAGGAGCGGACGCGGTAGCGCTTGTAGTAGTCGGCCATCCCGCCGTAGGCCTCATCGTAATACACGGTCTCCCCGTAGCCCGCGGCGTAGGGAGCGCGCACGGCCCCGTACTGCTCGTTATAGGCCTCGGCAAAGTCCGCCACTTGCCCCGGGCGATCGACCGGGCACTCCTTAGACCAGTGCCCCTCCTTCCCGCAGCGGTAGCAGCCGCTCTTGTCTCCCATCCCGGGCGCCGTCCGCAGCCGGCTGGTGGACAGCTGCACGCGCATCCGCTTGCCTTGGGGAGAGGGGGAGACCCCACGTCACCCGCGCCGCGGGGTCCCCGGGGCTGCCACGGGCACCCAGGGTCCCCCAGAGCTGCCACAGGCACCAGCACCGTGCCCGGAGTCCCCCAGAGCTGCCACGGGCACCAGCACCGTGCCCGGGGTCCCCCAGAGCCGCCTCCGGCACCGGCACCGGGGGGATGTCGAGGAACTGGGGGCAGCTGCAGGTTCAGCTCCGAGTGGGACCCCCAGGACGTGTGGCCCAGCCAGGGGAGGGACACTTGGGGACACTTTGGGCAGGAGGTGACAACCCCCAGCCGTTCCCATGCACGCACTGGAGGAGATTCCTTTGTTCTCCTCAGAGACACCCCCTCGAGCTGTGATTTTGCCATTTAATTGCTTCACCAGGATTAAATTATTTTAAAGATCGGGATGTCTGAGGCCCCCAGGAGCTGCCCCCAGCGCTGGCACTGTCCCAAGGGACCCCTGAGAGCCAGCACCGGTCCCTGAGACCCGTCCCTGGCAGTGGGAGACCCCCAGAGCCAGCCCTGGCACCAGCAGCAGCAGCAGCAGGGGGTCCCTGTGGTCCTGGGCAGGAGTTGGGGGGCAGAGGAGCCCCCCTGGTAGTGTTTGGACGCGGCAGCAGCGTCCGGCTGCGACTCCCGGCCTCATTTACCGTTATCACCCCGTTTCCCCCCGAATTCCGGCCCCGCAGGGACACCCCCGGTCCCACCAGGAGGCCCCAGGGGCAGAACCTGCCCCCAACCCGCCGGTTTTTGGGGCGAACGCTCCAGAATTCCTCACAAAGCCGGCGCTGGGGGAGCCGCTCCGCCCCGACACGGAGCCACCACGGGCACGGAACCGACACCGGCCGAGGGACACGGGGAGGGGACACGGCACCGACAGCCCCCAACGAGACCACAAGAGGCACCGAACGGCCCCTCGGACGCCGCGGCACCGAGATGAGTTTGGGCGACGCCCCGACCCGGCCGAAGCCCCCACACCCCTCCCCGCCCTGCCTGGTGCTCCCCCAGCCCGGGCTCACCCTGGAACTCGGTGTTGTCCAGCCCCCGGATGGCCTCCACCGCGTCCTCCGCCCGCTCCATGTGCACGAAGGCGTAGTCCTTGACGATGTCGCACTCGATGACGGGGCCGTACTCCTCGAACTTGGCGCGCAGCTCCAGGTTGGTGCAGGCGGGGCTGATGTTGCCCACGTGCAGCTTGGTGGAGGCCTTGCTCTTGTTCTTGCTGGCCTCCACGTTGATGCAGACGCCGTGCAGCTTGTGGTGGTGCAGGTTGCGGATGGCGTCCTCGGCCGCCGTCTTGTCCTCGATGTGCACGAAGCCGTAGTTCTTGATGATGTCGCACTCCAGCACCTTCCCGTACTGCTCGAACAGGGAGCGGATCTCCTGCTCCGTCGCCTCCCGCGGCAGGTTCCCGATGAACAGCTTCACCATCGCGACCCGCCTGCGCCCGGACAGCGCCGTCAGGGGACCCCCCGGGACCCTCCCCATCCAGACACGGGCCCCCGCGGGGCTCCGGGGCACAGGATCCCCCCAGGGGAACACCCCAAACCTCGGGGGGGATCCCCAGGGCTGCGCCCCCAAGGCGAACGTCTGCATGTCCTCGGGGCTGAGCCCCCAAACACCCCGAATAGCTGTGTGTGTGTCCCCAAGGCTGAGCCCCCAAACACCCCAAAAAACACCCCAAATTAACACCCTG